GTAGCTCCGCCTCCTGCTGCAACCATCTTGTGGTTGGCTCCACCCCTTGTGGCAGCCATTTTGTAGTTGCACCCAACACCCTGTTTCAGAAGCGCCCATAGGCTCAAAAACATTGGGGACCCTTTGGTCTGAGAAAGCTGCAAAGACAGACAAAATGCTCTGGCTCAGCTCAGACATCACACCAAAATGTGGTGTGAATCTATAACAGGCAAACCATGGTTTAGCGCGGTCTGTTTTCATCGTCTGCCCTCTAAGCATTTTAAGTTCCCTCCAGTGTCTGTGGTGCAGCTGGCCATAAATAATGGCTTTTCGGTTAGGATGTCATGTCAAACTGTGGTTTACTCGCCGGCTTCATCCCCTGGTGTCTGATTCTGACTTTGCCAGCTGATCGGATTGTCATGCCAAACCAGCTTCTTCTAACTACAGTTTGGTGCAGTGTCTGAATCAAGACTGTGCATGTCAAAAGTGCCGTTTTGATAGATTCTAATATTCTAACACCTCTCACTTTTTTTTAAATGACTAGGTACATAGAAATATTTCCAAGCCAGAGGAGTGAAGTTCGTACACACAATGGTTTCTACCGGGGTAGGAAAATGATGGGTTACTCGCCTATGAAGCAAGACCCTGAATCGGTTTTTGAGGAGAGCGAATTGTGTGAGGCCCTGAGACCGGCTTACGAAAGTGACACAGAAACTGGTATGTTCATGCGTGCTTTTTCCTTTCAACACATGGTGCATTGGAGAGAGACGGCAGCACATGAATGTAATTTGCACGTGTCAGTTAGACTTTTCCCTCCCGTTCTGCAGACATGTTTAAGCCAGCGTTTGAGAAACCTCGAGAGGTGTCGGAATCCGGGAGCTTCTCCACGCTTCATTTTGTCCACCTGAGGGGCCTGCCTTTTCAAGCGACTGCCCAAGATATTATAAATGTACGTAGGGGTAAGATCCTTTTAACTATCTTGAACCGTTTTACTAGGAGAGTCAGCCTTTCTGTAGCCTTTGCATTAAGGCGCTCCAAGGACTCGGTTCTGGAATCTTTTCCGTCACTGACGCCCACACTGTCTGCGGTTCCAGAGGGTAGCTGTGTTGGTCTGCGGTTAGAGCCGTTGAGTCCAGGAGCACCTCAGGGACCAACCCAGATTTCCCAGGGTATAAACTTTCGAGAGTCACAGCTCCCTTTGTCAGACACAATAGGGAACTTTGACTCTGGAAAGCGGATACCCTCAAACTCTGGTTGGGCTCTTAAGATTGTCCTGGACTCAAATCTAACTCTTCCGACTGTCTAATATCTCTGTCGCTCAGTTGTGCCCAGAGGTCATTTCGGGGGGGATCGCAGTTCCCCCGGGTGAGGTGCAGGGGGTGGGGCACATGATGAAGCCCCGCCCCCTGCTTCCGGCCGCCCCGCTTCCAGCCCTCATTCAGCCAGGAGGAGGCAGGAGAAGAGGGAGGGTAAGTTGCTTCCTCCCCGCCTCTCCCCACCCCTGCCTACCTGGGGTCAGGGAGGGCCTTGGCGGGGCTTCCTCGCACTCCCGCCGGCCTTGCAGGTCCACCGCCGGGCCCCTGATGTCAGGGGGTGTGGCATATGCTAATGAGTTATGCTAATGAGTTCCCCTAGCTCTTTTTCTACGAAATGACCCCTGGTTGTGCCTTACAATGTTCCTAACGGCCGGGATTCAAAGAGGAGTTGTTGTTGTTGTTGTTGTTGTTGTTGTTGTTGTTAATAATTCGGATTTGTATCCCACCCTCTCCTTAACAGACTCAGGGCGGGTTCCAACAATATAATACAACAATATAAATACAACTGAAACCGCGTTAAAACATATAAAACATACAATTCTTATGAAAGGCCAGTTGCCTCAGTGGTTGATAGTACTAGGAATACATTTCTCAGAGATTTGTAGAGTTTAGGATCTTAAACCCAGGCTATAAAATAGGGGCTGACCCAAGGGGGGGGGGGACGCCCACTGCCTCAACCAAAAGCCCGGTGGAAGAGCTCCATCTTGCAGGCCCTGCGGAATTGTAACAAATCCCGCAGGGCCCTGATCTCACTCGGGAGCTCAATCCACCAGGCAGGGGGCCAGGGCTGAAAAGGCCCTGGCCGAGGCTAGTCGGGCCGGGGACCACCAAAAGGTGTTGATTGGTGGACCTCAGTGCTCTACGGGGCTCCTACGGGGAGAGGCGGTCCCGAAGGTATGCTGGCCCCTGGCCGTACAAGGCTTTGAAGGTGAGTACCAACCCCTTGGAATGAGCAGTTCTGCCTTGAGCCGCTCAAACAGAATTTCTATCTGTCCTCCTGCTCCAGCTCTGAACTGGGGGGCGGATGGGAATTCTTGAAGCAGATGGTGGCTTGTTCTTTAAAGAGAGTCAAAAATACCACCGGGCAGGTCTTGTAGCTGTTCCTGGTGTAACCCTTTAGACCCTTGCCCAAGGGGGGGGGGGTCAGCTTCCCACAGCATGGCTTGTTTTGGGCAGCAAGGAGGACATTTCAAATCTTTGTTAGTTACGTTTTGAGCTACGTGTTGTTTTTATCTGGTTGGTAGCGTTTCGGGGTTGTCTGCTGCTTTGTCAGCCACCTTGAGTCACAGGAGGAACGCATGCCTTACGGGGCCTGGGCCCCGCTGCTAACTACCTCCTCTCAGCGTTCAGATTTTAAGAGCTCAGAGACGAGTGAGTGATAAAAACCATACGTCCCACGCAACTGGGCTTATATCTTTGGGTTTCTTCATTAGTTTTTTGCTCCCCTGAAACCGGTGAGGATCACGATGGAGTATAATTCGAGCGGGAAAGCGACCGGAGAAGCCGACGTGCACTTTGAGACGCACGAGGATGCAGTTGCCGCCATGGCCAAGAACAGGTCTCACGTGCGTAAGTAGCGTTTGTGTCATTTTCTGAGGGGGGGGTTGCGTGTCGGGGGGGGGTTGGGCCACAGTTGGTGCTAAATTTGAAACGTGTTGAATCTTCACTCTGCTCAGCCTAGTTGTGAGGATAAAATGGAGGAGAGGAGAGAGCCCACGTCAGCTACTTTTGGGCTCCCCAAGTAGAGAAAGGTGGGGTATAGATAAAGTAGATAAATAATAAAATGTCCAGCCAGATGTTTGGCAGGAAACCCTCACTTCTGTCTTGCCTTAAAGATCCTAGGTCACCTGGGCAGATTAGTGGCTGCTCTAGCGCAGGCTGCCAGGAACGGGGAAGTGACCAAGCACGGCACCCAGCACATCATAGAATCAGAGAACGTTAGAGTTGGAAGGGACCTTGGAGGTCATCTAGTCCAATCCCCTGCACTCTGCAGGAGCACAGCCGAAAGATAGCCCTACAACATCCCCGAAAGATGGTTGTCCAGGCTCCGCTTGAAAGCGTCCAGCGAAGGAGCATCCACCACCTCCCGAGGCAGTCTGTTCCACTGCTCAACCACTCTGACAGTTAGGAAGTTTCTCCTGATACTTAGCTGGTAACCACTCCCTTGTAGATCTAGTCTTGCAATCCGGAGCAAGAGAGAATAGATCTGCTCCATCTTCTACATGACAGCCCTTCAGATACTTGAAGACTGCAGTCATGTCCCCTCTAAGCCTTCTCTTTCCCAGGCTAAACACACCCAACTATTTCTGCCTTTTCCTCATAAGACTTGGATTCCAACCCTCTCACCATCCCGGTTGCCCTCTTCTGGACTCGTGCGACCATGTGTCCCCGTGTGACCAAGTCCCTGGTGTGTGCCCTGCTATTGTCCAGCTGACAAACCTGAATCTGGAACCTATTCTCCCGAGCCTAACTGCTGAGCTCCAAGGAGCATCCTAGAGGCATCTAAGCTCGTTGTGCACCAAGACTACGATCCTTAGCAGCCTTTCGCCTGCCACAGAACTCTTCTGTATTTCTCTCTCCTCACACTAATTTGAGATTCAGTCCCAAGACTTTAGACGGGTCTTAGAAGCATTTGAATCATCCTGTTGAGCCAGGTAATTTGGGGCAGGACAGGGAGAGTTCAAGGCTACATGTATTATAAATGCATGCCACGGGAAGATCCTTTTCAAGGATCCCGAACCTTTTTACTTGGGAGGCCAAGTGGCGTTTGGGCCGTTGGCGCCAGCCATTGACACTCATTTAAAAAAAAAAGAAGACGACGACTTGAGAGTTAGTCTGAAGCCACCATGCTACAGTTGAGGCTTCAGGGTTGCTCTTCTGAACATCCCAGGTGGCGAATGGTGGCCGTTAGAGACCGTGTTCCCTCTAAGCTGAGTTAGTGTGGGCCGGCTCACAGATTTTTAGCCTCCGGCTCACACATTTTTGCCTTAGCTCAGGAAGGGAGGGCTCCAGAGCAAACTGGAGCCAAATCACCTGCTCACCACTTTAATGCTCACAAAGTTGAGTTTTTGCTCACAGGACTCTACAGCTTCGAGGGAGCATTGCAAGCTGGGTGGTAGGAACAGGCCCCTATGGACCCGTGTGTAGGATTTTAACCGGAGTTGTGCATGTGCTGACCTGGATGGTCTAGGCAAGGCCAGGCCAGGCCGCTCTCGGAAGCAAAGCAGAGTCAGCCCTGGTTAGTACTTGGATGGGAGGACCCCCCCCCCCCAGGAAGTTGAGGGTTGCTACGCAGAGGCAGGCCATGGCAAACCACCCCTGTTCCTCTCTTGCCTTGAAAATCCTAAGGGGCCTCCCTCCATAATCAGCTGCGACTTGATGGCATTTCCCACCACCATCCGTGTGAGTGCTGTGTTAATCCCACCTGCGAAACCTAATGTAGGCAGTGTTTTGAAGTATTGTACTCGGGAGCAGCGTCCCCTCTAAGCTGAGTTAGTGTGAGCTAGCTCACAGTTTTTTAGCCTCCGGCTCATGCATTTTTGTCTCAGCTCAGGAAGGAGGGCTCCAGAGCAAACTGATTTATGCAGTAGCCCAATCGCTTGCTCACAACTGTAATGCTAGTAACTCAAGAAGTAGATTTTTTGCTCACAAGACTCCACAGCTTAGAGGGAACATTGCTCGGGACAGGAAGGGTATCTGTACTTTTTGGCCCCGTGGGAAACGACATCCACGGGAGGAGGAGGCCACTGCCAAACAGAGCTGCACAGGTCGACATGACATCAGAGGCGTACCGCTACACAATTGCTAAACTTCAAATCATCCATTTTTCACTCAAGCTTGTCCCTCTCTTCTCTCGCAGAGCATAGATACATTGAGTTATTCCTGAATTCATCACCAAGCAGAAAAAATGGTTGCCAGTGACAATAGCATAATTCCCAAAGTTTAGGTGAGTGCCACGATAAACTGACTTCTCCTTGGTGTGGGGAACACAGTCCTATAGGAAGTTGGGTTTGGTGGGTTTTCTTGAGTGACAGTAGCTGTGGCGAACGCAAGATCTCCTTTGTTTTCCAACTTGGGCCAGAAGCTGCACGCAAGGGCCGTGGTGTAGCAACCAATTTCAGAAAGCCAGATTAAAACAGTTTTGCAGTTTGAAAAAAAACCCAACCCAACCAAAGCTTACTAGAACAGGGGTGTCAAACATGTGGCCCGGGGGCCGGATGAGGTCCCCGGAGGGCTTCTCTCAGGCCCACAGTGGAACTGGCTGTCTTCTTCTTCTTCTTCCGGTTCTGCTGCTGCTGCATCATCATAGGTTTGCAGCTTACAGATACACACCTGAACAGCATACTCAAGATTGGAACAGCACAGACATTTTGATGCAATAATTCAGAGCAAGCGGTGTCAGTTATCAGACACTGTTAAATAAACAAAATATGCCAAGAGTGCTAATGTTTTAAGCGTGATTTTATTTCAAGTAAAAAAAATACCCTTTGTGTTTGTGTCCTTTATAAAGTTTATATCTCCGCTACCAGGCATTACGTTTTATGACATACGGATCCGGCCCTCATAAGAAATGAGTTTGACACCCCTGTCCTAGAAGGTATTTTGTTCTTGCTTAATCATAAACAGAAGTGGCCCAGTGGTAGAGAAGGCATATGTGTAAACTTACAACCCATATGGGATTTCCATGAGGTGTGTGTGTGAACTGGCCAGTTCATGCAGCTGTGTTTGCCCTGAGCCATGTGGATAACGGGGTGCGTGATGAGGTTCTTGGCTTGTGCACGGGCCTGGTTGTTGCCGTCCTCAAATTTCCGCTTACTCAGTCTTTCACAGGCATTGAGGATATTTCCTTGTCTGGAAGAACACTTGTTTGCTGTCGCTGCAGAGGGTAGCCATATCGGTCGGCAGCAGAGCCACCGACATACGAATCCAGTAGCACTTCAGAGACAAACGAGATTTTGGGGATATGAGCTTTCCAGAGTTGAAGCTAATCGAATCAAGCTGAATACATTTTACATCGCTCGTACCCTAAGGTCGCTGCCGGACTTGAATCTAGTTATTTATGTTAACGTCTTTCCTCAGTTCTTTCCTCTGTTTTTAATACAGATTGTGATCTGTTAATGGGCTTGGAGTCTTGGCACAGCCTGACCTATACACAGAAGGCCAACAAATTTGGAACTGTATAAACGATGGGGTCTCATATGCAAGGTCTTGTGTACCTTGTGGGGAAAAAAAATCAGCTTTGTGTAAGGGAAAAGCTGCCAAAATTACACAAATGATACATGTTTCGGAAAGAGAAACTCCTGCTAATCATAGAAGGAAGCAAGAAAAAATCAAAGTTTGGAATTACAGGATACAGCCAGAGAAAGAGAGGGGCGCTGAAATGAAGTGACTTTTCCCTTCCCATCTCTTAATCCAACGTTCTCTCTTTCTCCACAGGATAAATATGCATTTCATTTGCACACTTTTCCTAGCGCTGGAATGCAGGAGTTCCTGTAACTCGCAAGGATAAAATCTAAAAGGACACTTTGTTTTTTCTGAATTGCCTTTCCAAGAAAAAAAAGAAAACCAGCAGCTGTACCTGAAACCCCACAGATTGTTTGTGCATAATCTGTCGTATGTGAAAAACCAAAATTAAACGTTGAGCTGTCCCATCGGTGAGCTTCTTCTATAGTGCATACCCTGGTAGCATTGGGGGGGGGGGGAACTCCAACAGCTGTGATCTGCAGCTGCAACATCGACCTGCTTCTAAACGTGGCCGGTGCAGATGTGCCGCTGCCCGTAATCTTGATTAGGTGGGTGGAAACGATGTCGTTTCAGAGCCCAGGTGAAGGGTGAGCACAGAACAGATCAGTTGGCGGGTGGAGGGGGAATGCCTGCTTCCCAGGACCCGCTTCTGATTCCCTGTGTGATGAAGAAGTTGTCTGAGTTGTATCCGCATCAGCCCCTTACGTGGAACGTTGCCCTTGGGGGAGATGGGCCACATGACGTGCATGAAGGAATGCGCTCTGGAGCCCAACTGGGAAGCTGACTTGTTAACCGGGTGCCCATTTTGAGTGCATGTGTGGGGTTTGGTCTGGTTTAAAATTGGGGGTGTGTGCATAAAATTAAGTCTTGTGTTCTGGCTGGAAATTAAAAAGTACTTTAGAAAAGCTGCTGATTCTCCATAAGGCCTTTTTTTGGGGGGGAGGGTTGGTTTATAAGCAGATCCCCTTCTTGTCACACACCGAAGTGTTCACGTAGCTCTAGTTATTAGTTTGGATTTGACTTTTGTGGTTAAAACAACACACCCGCTGTCGGCTTTTTCTAAGCAGGATAAAAGTTTTGTTGTCCATCGCTTCCTTCCTTTAAAAACTTGAGGTGAGTCTGTCCCAATTCAGGTGGTGAATGTTGGACTCTGCCATTACCTTAAGTAGTTCTGACGTATGAACGGAATGCCCGCATTGTATATGGAAGCAAGTCCTGTATGGATTTGTGTGTATGTATACAGATAATGGTCACCATATGTGCAGAAGTACTCGAATGGATCATAGGTTGACCTGTTTGTGTAGTCCTGGAATAACCAACCTATGTAATGAGAGGTTAGTCAGACCTGTGATGAAGTCTGCCATCTGATTGGACTCCCCTTTTTTAAAAAAAATTTGTGTGTGTGTGTGCAAAGTGGTATATATTTTACAGAATCTTTATTAAGCAACCTGATTTCATGTGGCTTGTTGCTATGTGTATTCCATTGTTCTTAGTAGTGGCCAGTATATGCTATGGACGAAGTTGTGACCAGCACCTGTGGTCTCAAACTGCTGCTGGCAGATACTGCTTACAGATATTACCCACTGCTGACTAGTTTCACCTGTCTGATCATTAATGTATAAATATAATAAACGAAAACCTTTTTTTCCCCCCTTCATTAGACTGTGCTTTTTAGGGGTTTACAGAATTTACACAAATGTATTTGGGGGGGTTACCACACTACTTTACCCCATGTGATTTGCGCATGCTGGAACTACTTGCAAATGTAGGGGTGTGGGTTGTCTAAAGGGTGGACCTTAACACTTTTGGAAGAAGAGATTGGATTTATACCCCATCCTTCAGTACCCTAAGGTGTCTCAGAGCGGCTTACAATCTCCTTTCCCTTCCCCTCCCCACAACAGGCCCCCTGTGAGGTAGGTGGGGCTGAGAGAGCGCTCTTGAGAACTGCCATTGAGAGAACAGCTCTGAACGAACTTGCGACTCACCCCAGGTCACATCAGCAGCTGCCTGTGGAGGAGTGGGGAATCAAACCCGGTTCTCCTAGATTAGAGTCCACGCTCCTAACCACTACACTGGGGTGGGCAGGGCAACAGCTGCTTGGTGAGAAGGGGGCAGCTTCATCCGTCTACTCTGCAAGAGACAGCTTTCCCCCCATGGCCCCTTGACCTGTCATTTGCTGCTTGGGGCACAGGAAATGCTCCCTTCACAATAGTGGCCACTTCTCTGTATCTCTAATGCTCCTGTTACATCAGAAGAAGGAGATTGGATTTATACCACACCCTTCCCTACCCGAAGGTGTCTCAGAGCGGCTTACAATCTCCTTTCCCTTCCCCTCCCCACAACAGACACCCTGTGAGGTAGGTGGGGCTGAGAGAGCTCTGACAGAAACGGCTCTTTTTCAAGAACAGCTCTGACAGAACTATGGCTTGCCCAAGGTCATCCAGCAGGTGCAAGTGGAGGAGTGGGGAATCAAGCCCAGTTCTCCCAGATTAGAGTCTGCGCACTTAACCACTATGCCAAACATCAAATATCAAAAGGGGGCCAAGAAGGACCCTTGACTGTAAAAACAATAATTCTTTTTCTTCCCATAGAAAAAGCAGGGTATATAAGGCTTCCGGTTTATGGCGACACGCAGGCAGACATATCTCCCAGACATCCCAGGGATGTAAACTGCACACTAGTGTGTGGGAGGGGGTCCAACGGGTCGCGACTCCCCTGGAGCCTTGGTAAAAGGCTCCCAGCCAGGGGGCTTTTGAGGGGCGACCCCTTCGATGGCCGAAAGCTGGAGAATTGAGGCCCCCCTCCGCCCTGAAGGTCCTGCCACTGAGTGACCGCATGGTACAAGTGCTGCTGACCGGGACAAGCGTTGGAAATCGGGCGAAATAAATTATGACAAGCGAGGCCGACAATGAACTGTGAGTCAGGTTGAAGCGAGCATGAAGATATAAAAAGAAGCTGCCCCCCTAAAGAGCGAATGGAAAGCAAGCGGGGGAAAGATCCCTCCCAAACGCATAGACAAAACATGGAAGGAAAGGGGGGGGGAGCGGAAAAAGAAGCGACTAAAACTGTTTTAAGAGACATCAGAGCGCAGAAAAGCGTTTGGGCGAATATCAGAGACTTTACCAACTTTTTTGAAAAGTAAACAAATCCAAAAAAAATGGCAGGGAAGAAACCAGAGAAAGAGAAGCTGTTGAAATCGAAACTAGGGCCAGTCCTCGAACGGATGAGGTCACTGAGCTCTCAAACTCTTGGCTGACTCCCTGCGCCCCCTGCTGGACGAGATCACTGGCATTAAACAACAACTGTCAGTAATTGGGCAGAGTGTTGCAGCGCAGCAGATGCAACTGACGCAATCCTTAAAAGCAACAGAGCAAATGGGAGAGAAGGTGAAGGAAATGGACGTCACTACTAAAAAAGTTAAGAAAAAGGTGCAAAAGTTGGAAATGAAGCAAGCTACAGAAGAGTCAAAGCTTTTACAGCTACAAATGGATAAAGCAAATTTGGTCCTACGGTTTCAAGGGGTCCAGGAAATTGAAGGAGAGAATCTGAAGAAACGACTGAGTGAAGCAATAGCCCCAATGACAGATTTAACAGCGGAATACCTTTGCAGCGAGATGGATGTGGTCTACAGGTCCTATTCATTCTACATCAAGAAAAATAATCTGCCTGGGGAAATAGTGGTCAGATTCTCGAAGAGACACATGAGAGATGCTATTTTGAAAGCAAATTCGGGAACACCTTTGAAAATTGGGGGCAATAATATCACGATTTTAAAAGATATTCCATTTGATATAACACAGAAGAGAAAGAACTATAAAGAATTAATCCTTTTCTTACAAACAAATGGCATAAATTACAGGTGGTTAACCCCAGAAGGCGTCATTTTCAAGATTAACGATAAAAAAGAAAAGATTGAAAAACAAAGCACGTGAATTTCTGCAGACACAGCTTGGAGAACCAGAAGAGAGCAAAGAGGAGGAAAAAGAAAGCAAATCTGATGGTGAGTTGGGCTCGGGGGTCTTCGGACGAGGACTCCCCCTCTGAAAAGGGGGCGGATGCCCTCAAAAGCCCTTATAAACTGAGGATTAGAAAAGATAAGAATAAATTACGGCTGAAGGACTCTGATTTGTGCCTGAAAAAATGTTGAAATAACTTGGGGATGCTCTGAGAATTTCTTTAAACAGTTAAAGGGATGGTTAAACGATAACTAATCTAGCGTAACTGACTAAGTTCAATGTATTATTAGTAGCTTTTTGAAAATAGCATGGTGTTAAATTGATGTATGATCTCCTACTCTTGGGTTTTTAGTTAGTTGTGGGTCTTTTCTTTATTCCCTAGATGTAGTTCCCTTTCCTATATTTTCTGTTGTAGTTTTGTAGTCTGGAAAAAAACCCCAATAACACCCCCCCCCGGGGGGATGAAAAAAAAGAGAAAAGGCAGGGTATAAAACTGAACTTGCAAGAACATGTTAACTCCAGTAGTAATTATGCTGTAGTTTTCAGGAACAAAGGATATTGTCAATTCAGATGGGAGCCATCATTAAGGGGGGGCCCCTCTAGAATATGCAATTATCATACGGCATTATGTGTAGAATAGCCAGGAGATCCTAAGATTGTCTAGTATCCTAAGATTGTCTAGCTCATTAGCATTGTGCACCACTAGGTGGTGAGCTGGAGTTGTTTTTAAGACAAGAGACGTTTCAGAAGTGGTTAGCCGTTCCCTGCTTTTGCGTCACAACCCTGGTATTCCTTGGAGGTCGCCCTTCCAAATATTAGCCAAGGCCGACCCTGCTTAGCTTCCGAGATCTGATGGGATCGGGCTATCCAGTTCAGGAATATGGAATCCTGCTGTATTGCCTCAATGTAGAATATTATTCGATGTTCTCCCTTAAAACTAATTTGGGAAGAATTGCTCCCCTCTGTGCGTTGAAACATGTTTCTGCCCAGGGTAGGAGGCAGACTTCGCATAGACAGGACGCCACCCCCCATCCCTGTGGGCAGGATGTGCCATTTTATTCGTTAGTGTAGTAAAATACTTAGAAGAGAAGAGGAAGAAGAGGAGATTGGATTTACACCCCGCCCTTCACTCAGGGTCTCAGAGCGGCTTACAAACTCCTTTCCCTTCCCCTCCCCACAACAGGCACCCTGTGAGGGAGGTGGAGCTGAGAGAGCTCTCTCGAGGACTGCCCTTGAGAGAACAGCTCTGAAAGAACTTCCGACCGACCCAAGGTCATCCTGCAGGTGGAGGCATGGGGAATCAAGCCCGGTTCTCCCAGATTAGAGGCCGTGTACTTAACCAGTACACCGAACTGGCTCTTATAGATCCCTTTCCTCGTGACTGTGCGCTGCTGGGGTAAATTCGGAGTGATGGGCCGTTACTGAACTTCTCACTGGGGCCCCTGTAGCGTATTGTGTATCCACCACAGCCCTGAGTGGCTGTCGTGACAGTAGCAGGTGAATGATAAAAGCAGGCATGATTGGAGTCCGTGTGGTATGCAGGGGGGTAGTAGGTGTGGAGAGATCAGTGTTGGTAATATCACGCCTAATCCAGTCACGCCCTGCTGTTGTCATTTGCCTGCTCATGTCATTCAGCATTTGAAATCACCCCACTTTCCCAGGTACCAGACAGATGGGTTCACATTCTAGCTGGATCTGAAGAAGCCAGCAGGGGACTCACGGATTTTGCCAGAATTTTGTTAGTGCCACAACTTGTGTTAGTCTTTTAAGGTGCTCCTGAACTCCTGCTCTTTGCTGCCGCTGCAGACGAGCACGGCTACCCATCTCGATCTGATTCCCAAGGGGTAGTTTTCTAAACTACTACTGAGCTTGTAATGTACCTTAAAGCAGGGAGCCTGTCATTCTAAACACTACAGAAAGTGGTGTCCAAACTAGAAGATACTGAAATGTGACTACAAAATGCTCACGAGTATTTATCACGTGTGTCTGCTCCACTAGGTTTCCCTTCATCTACTTGTACTCCATATTCTATACTGCTTAGGGGCTTGGATCTAGCCCGTTTCTGTGGGAGCGAGAATTTCCACCCAGCCAAGGACGACTTTCCTCTCCTTCCCCTCACTTGCAGAAGTTACGTTCTACCAGTCCAGATGCCAGCCACAATTGAGTATTCGCTTTCTCGTTATGGTCCCTAGTTCCTGCACAGACCATTCCTTAACAATCCAAGAGGCTACTAATTTTCTCCCCTAGAAGAGCTTTTGCTAAAAAATTAAGTAGCCCAAGTCATGGCTCATTCCCTACTTTAGCCCAGTGACTAGTAAACAGCAATCTGTGTGCAAAAACCACTTCCGTTCTTTGTTCTACCACTTTTTAAAGTAACCTGGATCTGAAGGAGTGTGTTGTTGTTCAGTCACACAGTCGAGTCCGACTCTTCATGACCCCATGGACCACATCACGCCAAGCCCACCTGTCTTCCGCCGTCCTCTGAAGTTTGCTCAATTTCATGTTGGTTGCATCTGTGACACTGACCATCTCATCCTTTGCCGTCCCCGTCTTCTTTGACCTTCAATCTTTCCCGGCATCAGGGTCTTCTCCAGTGAGTGCTCCCTTCTCATTGGGTGGCCAACTGAAGTGTGCATGCACACAAAAGCCTAATACCTTGAATAAAACTTGGTTGGTCTTAAGAGTACCACTGGACTCAAACTTCGTTCCAGTAAGGGACAAGGTCTAAGACGCTCACCAGCCTTCGCGGCCGTTGCCTGGTCGAGCTAATGACAGTCACTCAAGGCTGTGGTGTATAAAATATGCTCCACAGTCCCCGGTGAGAAGATCGATAATGGCCTGCCACTCCTAATCCACCCCAGCAGTGCACAACCACAAGGAAAGGTGGGGTAAGAATACTTTATTACACTAACAAAATGGCACACGCTGCTCCCGGGGCCGGGGGCCGCATCCTGGCTCTGCTAACTCTGCAATCGCACCAATGAACAGGTGGGGCAATTCTTCCCAAATTGCCTTAAGAAGAAGAAGAGATTGGATTTATACCCCGCCCTTCACTTGGAGTCTCAGAGCGGCTTACAAACTCCTTTCCCTTCCCCTCCCCACAACAGACACCCGGTGAGGTGGGTGAGGCTGAGAGATCTCTGATACAAACTGCTCTTTTCCAAGGACAGCTGTGCCACAGCTTGTGACTGACCCAAGGTCACATCAGCAGGTGCAAGTGGAGGAGTGGGGAATCAAACCCGGTTCTCCCAGATTAGAGTCCACGCAATTAACCACTACACCAAACTGGCTCTCTTAAGGCAAAACATCTGATAATATTCTACACTGGGGGCAATGCAGCTGGATTATACATCCCCTCCCTTAATAACCGTAACCATCTGAATTATATCCTTCGTTCCTGAAAACTACAGCATAATTAGTCCTGCCTGTTTTTCAGTTTACATACACACTCTAACCAATCGTCTTTTTTACCTATTCTCTATAACTGCGAGCTGGAAGAATGATTGCTAAGGATTCGGTGTATGCTTCGGCCGTCTTAAGTAGATAGTGACCAATGCTCCCTCCCAAGCTGTGGAGTCTTGTGAGCAAAAATTCTACTTTGTGAGCTACCGGCATTAAAGTTGTGAGCGAGCGATTGGGCTGCCGCATAAATCAGTTCTGCTCTGGAGCCCCATCCTTCCTGAGCGAAGACGAAAATGTGTGAGCCGGAGACTAAAAAGCTGTGAGCTAGCTCACACTAACTCAGCTTAGAGGGAACACCGGTCGTGACCCAGAGTGTTTGGCTCTGTTTTCCCTTAATTTCATCTCTCTCTCTCTCTGTTAAAGGTAACACACTGAAGAATGAGCCACACTGTACTTCCGTAAACATTTGATTGTCCGCACAACATAAACATAACAGCAGTGAAACACTAGCCGCCGACACATTCAATTACATGCTGCAAGTTTCCAGTTAGCGGGCCCTCCGCCCACAGAGCATGTGATGTGGTTCACCAAGATGGCTGCAGAAAGGCCCAAGAGAAGCGGCAGCCTCTTTGGAACTACGAAGCGGCCAGCGCTCTGTTAAGAAGTGTAACACGCTGCTGACCTTCCTAAAATCCATTAGCTTACAGTGACGAAATTACCCACCTTCTCTCTATGAAATCACCCTAGTTTTTTTCATGAGCAAATCCATACGGTCCTACTGCCTCTACAGCCTCGATGCGCAAACGGTGCAGTTTTTCACTTAAGCAGGCAAAACATTCAGGATTCAAGTTCCACTCCAGTGGCTCAGAGAATTCACAATTGGCTGGCGCCCCCTAGAGGTCCCGCAAAAACCGGTGTCTTAGGCTACTCCTGGGCAGTTTAGAAAGGAAAAGATCTTGGCCAAATTTTCGATAGCAAACTTGCCGACAACTGTGCAGGTTTTAAAAAAAAAATGCAGTGCAATTCACACATCACACGTTCTCCCTCAAGGAGCTTGGTGGAATTCGTTTCCTTTTTTTTTTTGAGCAGCACATCTGCAAAATCAGAGCCTCAACAAAAGTTAATTGGCAGAAACAGGTCAAAGTTAACAGCTCTGGGGGTGGGGGGGGCGCTCTCTAACTGGACACAGTTGCCTCTAATTTGTTTTCAGGAGTTACGCAATTCCATCTCCGGGCCTCCCAACGAGGTGATCCAGAGAGGCTGCTTTAAAAACAGAATACGAATAGGTGCCCTGTATCCACTGGTTAGCAAATGCCTCCCCACTCTGAGAGAGCTGTGCAACTCAGAGATATTACAGATCGCATGAGTCTGTGCATTCACTAGCTCCCTCTTAGGAAGTCAGGTGAGTGTGTGAGCCCCATAAACAAGCAAGGAAGTACATGTGGCTTATGCTGGACCTGTCTAGTTCGCCTGGCTTCCAGGAACGAGTGCAAGACATGCCCATGTGCACAGCTGCCTTCCCAGGAGAAGTACACTGGAGAGAAAAGACCCCTGTCACGTGTCTTTCCACAGGCTCATGGTTTGCACTCTTGCCCCTTGCTGGGCACTCTGTTGTGCCTCCCGATTCATGGACAAGCAGTTCAACAGTGTCTTTTGTGCCTGCAAAGACAAACAACACGCAGCACTCGGCTCCCAATGTAGATGCTCAAGAGCACAGAACACCTTCACAGCAGAGACAGGAGACCGGGCAAAACTCTTCCAAGGATGGTTCACCAAGGGTCCTTAAACATTTACAGTTAGAAGGCTGATTGCCGATGCAATTATAGCACACCCCGGGGCTCTCTGGTTCTGCAGGAGCGCTCTCAAAAATCTCTCCAAACGGCTGCAGAGACATTTGGAAGACACAGCGTTTCACAGTGGAGCTCGGCCAGCGCGCACGAGCAACATTTGGCAGCGCATTCATTCCCTGGTCTTTATGAGGGGCTTGCAGAATACTGCTGCATCAAGTGCTTGTGACACCGGTTGCAGACACGTTCCGGGTTGATGCTGGACGGGAGAGGCAGTTCGTTCGCAGAGCAGGCCTCGCAGAAGATCCCGCCGCAGTTCTTGCAAACGTTCTGCGTGGGGGAGAAGAAACAGATAAAATTGGAACCAGGCTTTTGAATCCTGGCACGCTTTTGCACTTGAAACAAAAAGCAAACGCCACGTTCAGTGGTTAATGTTTCAGCCAGGCGCAAACAGGCCTGGTGTAGTTTGATGTGGTGGTTAAGTGTGCGGAGTCTAATCTGGGAGAAGCCCTAGAGAGAAAACTGCAAGAAATAACCGATTTTGGTTTAGAAAAGAACGTGAAATATCTTGGGATAAACATTACGAATAGAACAAGTACATTGATACCAGGTAATTACGATACGCTCTTGACCCAGGTTAAAAAGGATTTAGAAAATTGGTCCAAGCTTCAACTGTCTCTTATGGGGAAAGTGGCAGTGATTAAAATGGCTATACTTCCCAGGATACTATTTCTATTTCAAAACATCCCAGTACTCAATAATTACAAGTTTATAAAAATTATGGATAAGTTAACATCAGATTTTATTTGGGGGGGAAAAAAACCCAGAATAAAGATTTATTCTTTACAAGAAAAAACAAAGAAGGGCGGATTGGCAGTGCCGAATTGGCGACTATACTATCAGGCCGCGGCACTGACATGGTTACGTGAATGGATATTGCTCAGAAATCAGAGGATTTTAAGCCTAGAAGGCCACAGATGAGAATCCAAACACTTAACCGCTGCACCAAACTGGTGTAGGCTGAGGGACTTGGGAACGTTTAGTCTGGAGAAGAGGAGGTTGAGGGGGGACACGGCTGCTCTCTTTTGAAGTATTTGAAGGGCCGTTCCTTGGAGGAGGGCAGGGAGCTGTTCCTGTTGGCAGCAGAGGATGGGACTCACAAGAATGGGTTTACATTAAGGGCGGGAAGGCCATGGATATCAGGAAAAACCTTTTTACAGTCAGAATTGTGCCACAGGGGAATCGGCCGTTTCTCTCAGAGCTCTCTCAGCCCCCCCTCCCTCACAGGGTGTCTGTTGTGGGGAGGGAAAGGAGCTTGTGAGCCGCTCTGAGACTCCTTTGGGTAGTGAAAGGCGGGGTATAAATCCAATCTCTTCTTCTTCTTCTTTTACCTCCCAGGGTGTCTGTGGTGGGGAGGGGAAGGGAAAGGAGGTTGTAAGCCGCTCAGACTCCTTCGGGGAGGGAAGGGCAGGGGATAAATACAATCTCTTCTTCTTCTTTTACGTCACAGGGTGTCAGTTGTGGGGAGGGGAAGGGAAAGGAGGTTGTAAGCCGCTCAGACTCCTTCGGGGAGGGAAGGGCAGGGGATAAATACAATCTCTTCTTCTTCTTTTACGTCACAGGGTGTCAGTTGTGGGGAGGGGAAGGGAAAGGAGGTTGTAAGCCGCTCAGACTCCTTCGGGGAGGGAAGGGCAGGGGATAAATACAATCTCTTCTTCTTCTTTTACGTCACAGGGTGTCAGTTGTGGGGAGGGGAAGGGAAAGGAGGTTGTAAGCCGCTCAGACTCCTTCGGGGAGGGAAGGGCAGGGGATAAATACAATCTCTTCTTCTTCTTTTACGTCACAGGGTGTCAGTTGTGGGGAGGGGAAGGGAAAGGAGGTTGTAAGCCGCTCAGACTCCTTCGGGGAGGGAAGGGCAGGGGATAAATACAATCTCTTCTTCTTCTTTTACGTCACAGGGTGTCAGTTGTGGGGAGGGGAAGGGAAAGGAGTTTGTAAGCAGCTCTGAGACTCCTTTGGGTAGTGAAGGGTGGGGTATAAATCCAATCTCCTCCTCCACGATGACTGGCTCCAACCAACCCTGGTAGCCTCTAATGCTGGAAACTAAACCCTGCATTACAACCTACTACATTGCCAAGACAGAGGTGGCTCTAAAAGGCTCGGGGCCTAACTTAGTTCAGCGTGAGAGTTTGTCTATTCAGCTTATAGCCTGTCCTGTTCCTGATGCTCATGTGGAGAGGCTCTGATGGCCCATACTAGGGCGAGGGAGGACCTGGGTTCAAGACCCCACCCGCAGGGCGACTCTGAGCCAATCACCTGCTCTTTCTGCCTAACCTACTTATCAGGATAGGATTGTGGTGAGGACAAAATGGAGCAGAGGATCCTCTGTGCCACTCTGGCCCCCCCAAAAAAAAAGAGCGGGATAAAAATATAATCAGGTCGCTGCTGGGCCTCAGTCCTCTTTGCAAAACCCCTGTAAAGGAGGTCAGGAGAATTTCAAGCAAAAAAAGAAGCTGGATATAAGAACATAAGAGAAGCCAATGTTGGATCAGGCCAGTGGCCCATCCAGTCCAACACTCCGTGTAACACAGTAGCCAGGACAATAGAAGCCCTCCCACTGTTGCCCCCCCAAGCGCCAAGAATACCGAGCATCACTTGCCCCAGACTGAGAGTTCCTATCTATAAAGGTAAACGATTCCCTTACTCGACAGCTAGTCAAATCCGACTCTAGGGGGCACTGCTCATCTCCGTTTCCCAGCTGAAGAGCCAGCGCTGTCCGAAGACTCCTCCGTGGTCATGTGGCCGGCATGACTAGACGCCGAGGCGCACGGAACGCTGTTACCTTCCCACCGAAGCGGTACCTGTTTATCTACTTGCAATTCCTTGCTTTCGAACTACAGCCACGGCTGCTTAAAAAAGTACAAATTGTCCCTCGGACAATGTGGCAGAGTATAGAATAGGAGCAGAAAATGGTCTCCCCAGGTTAACCACACCCTGTCCTGGGTAGCCCAGGTTAGCCTGATCTCATCAGATCTCGGAGGCTAAGCAGTGTCGGCCCTGGTTAGTACTTGGATGGGAGACCATCAAGAAGGTCTTAAGGTCGCTGTACAGAGGCAGGCAATGGCAAACCGCCTCTGACCGTCCCTTGCCTTGAAACCCTACGAGGTCACCATAAATTGGCTACAACTTGATGGCAAAAAAATTAATAACTACTCTTTGGGTTAGACTCACCTTCTTTTGGCTCCGAGTGCTTTCTTCCTGACACAATTGGCACAGCTCTGACTTCCCGGGGCCGGCAGTCTGCTCCTAAACAGTTCAGACGGAAATGGAAACATTTAACACGGCTGCTGTTTAAGCAACCCATTGAGGCTGCAAAGTTTTCTCGCAGATCATCTGACTTCTCATAGAAAATATCTCACGTAAGCAGGGCTCTTTTTGTAGAAAAAGCCCAGCAGGAACTCATTAGCATAACAGGCCACACCCAACAGCAGGAACTCATTAGCATAGTAGGCCACACCCTGACAGCATATTAGCATATTAGGCCACACCCCCACATCACCAGAAGTGTGGTCATCCAGCCACACCCACCTTTTACTTCTTATTCTGTTTACCTTGTTTGTTGTCAAAACCCAGCGCTTTTTTTTGTAGCAGGAACTCCTTTGCATGTTAGGCCACACACCCCGAATGTAGCCAATCCTAATGAGTTTCTGCTGTTGGGTGTGGCCTATTATGCTAATGAGTTCCGGCTGGGCGTGGCCAACTCAGGAGCCAGCCGGAACTCCGTTCCTGTGCGTTCCTGCCCAAAAATAGCCCTGCATGTAAGGTTTGAGGATGCCTCACCCACGTCTCTTTGAGGAGTTAAATCTGGCTCCTCACGATTAGATTGACGTTCATGCGGGCAAGCTGATCTGCAACCGTGCAGAGCGGCCATCTGTAGGATCACGTGGCCAAGCATGCACACGGGGGTTATGATGTTAATTAGGTCCAGGCAGTCTAAATGGATTGTTGTGGCAGCACAGAGGCAGCTACAGTGCAGTGAACATGTGCCTGCTCCTTAGAAGCGAACGAGCAGACCGAACATGAGATGGGCGGTCGTTTCCGCACGCAGCACCCCGCAAATCATACAGTCGCAAAAAGGCAAGGTAGGCAGTCTCCTTCTTGCAGCATAAAGGTAAAGGTTCCATTGCTCGAAAGCCAGTCGAATCCGACTCTAGGGTTGCGGGGCTCATCTCCGTTTCCAAGCCGAAGAGCCAGCGCTGTCCGAAGACGTTTCCGTGGTCATGTGGCCGGCATGACTAAACACCGAGGCGCACGGAACGCTGTTTCCTTCCCACCGAAGTGGTACCTATTTATCTACTTGCTTTCAAACTGCTAGGTTGGCAGGAGTATCTTGCAGCATACTTTTAATTAAAGTACGGTTCAGTTTGTTTCATGCAAAAAACGGCAGCCCGAATATGAATGCGCAGTGTGTCTGATAACCAAGAAAACGAATGAAAACAACCCCATAAACCAACACAGCACAATAAAAACCTTAGCGTCTCAGTAGCCAAAATTTGCACAGCTGGATACGCCGTGCCTGCTAAAAATGCATGAAGTGTCCCTCGGACAGCATCAGAAAACGGTCTCCCCAAGTTAAGCCGCGCACCCTGACCTTGATGGCCCAGGCGAGCCCGATCTCATCAGAGACTGGAAACTAAGCAGGGTCAGCTCCAGTTACTGCTTATATGGGAGGCCACCAAGAAGTCCAGGGTCGCTATGCAGAGGCAGGCAATGGCAGGGCCCTTTAGAGCAGGGGTGTCAAACATGCGGCCCGGGGGGCCAGATCAGGCCCCCGGAGGGCTTCCATGAGGTACGCAGTAGAACTGGCCATCTCCTGCTTCCAGTTCTGCTGCTGCTGCTGCATCCTAGCTTGCTTCACCAGGCTCTCTGAATCACTCGGCCATTTCGTGTTCTAACCTGGGTCCTAGAGACTCAGAACTCTTGAGCATGAGATTTCTGTGGTGAATGCCAATAAAGCAAAAGTAGGTTTGCGGCTTCCAGAGCTAATGTTTTAAGCATGTTTTAATTTTAAGTTTTTTTAAAAAAACCTTTATGTTTGTGTCCTTTATAAAGTTTATATCTCCACTACCTGGCAGTTCGAAAGCAAGAAATTGCAAGTAGATAAATAGGGACCACTTCGGTGGGAAGGTGACAGCGTTCCGTGCGCCTTGGTGTTTAGTCATGCCGGCCACATGACCACGGAGAGGTCTTCGGACAGCACGGGCTCTTCGGCTTTGAAACGGAGATGAGCACCGCAACCCTAGAGTCGTATTCAGCTGGCTCTCGAGCAAGGGAACCTTTACCTTTACTTACCTGGCATTACATTTTATGACACGCATGGCCCGGCCCAACAAGGTCTCATTGATGTCAGAACCGGCCCTCATAACAAATGAGTTTGACACCCCTGCTTTAGAGGATCATCATTTTAGAATGTGGAAAAATTCCTCCTGTGGCAAGGGATTTCCTACTACTCCACACAAAGGAAAGTCATTACTTACGTGCCCTTCTTGTCCACTAGGTGGAGCCCTACAATAGAAACAAGATATCTGGGTTGTCATTTCAGCCACATTTCATGAAGAAGACAACGAAGATGATGGTGAAGAAGAGACTGGATTTATGCCCTGCCCTTCACTTGGCGTCTCATAGTGGCTTACAATGTCTTTCCCTTCCTCTCCCCACAACAGACACCCTTTGAGGTAGGTGGGGCTGAGAGAGCTCTCAGAGAACTGCTCTTGAGAGAACAGCTCTGAGAGCTCTGTGACTGACCCAAGGTCACCCAGCAGCTGCATGTGGAGAAGGAGTGGGGAATCAAACCCAGTTCTCCAGATTACAATCTGCCACTCTTTAACCACTACACCAAACTGGCTCTCTATAAATTGGCTTTCAAGCATATTCTGAGTCCTCATTTTAAAAGAGTAGGCCTCATACAGACTTGTCATAGGTACACGCTCTTAGCACATCCAGCAACTGTGGATCACAGAAGAACAACAGATTTTGAACACTTAATGAACTCAGTACACATGACAAGGCAATCCCTCCCCTTCTGCAGAGGAGCTACAATCCTCAGAAAGACACTCGGCAACTGCTCTTTTCCTTTCCCTCAAATAACCTGGTGAACCAACGGACAAGTACACCATACCTGAAGCATCCCCGGATGATGCCTGTGAAACCTATTCCTAAAAGCCACCGACCGAGGGGATTCAACAGTCCCCCCGGACTGCAGGTTTTATTCTTGAGCTGTCTTATAGGTTAGGAAGAACGTCGAAACATTCACCCTAAATCGTGTACCTAACAGCCAAGGGTGGCTCCACGTGGGGAATCTAAAAAACATTAAAGGGGGAGCTCATTCCGAGCTCAGGTATGCATTTCTGCAAATTCGGGACAACTCAAGTTCGCAGGAAAATCTGATTTTTTACAAAAAAGTTGCAAAATTAAAAATGCAATAACTGTACCATCTTCACATGCACAGAGAAGCACCCGGGGGAGGGGGGGGGAGACGACAACCAGAGCTACCATAGCAATGTTTTTATTTACTGATCTTTTTCTCCAATGGTAATTGGAACTCTCGTCTGCCATAACCTGTCTGGTTGTTGCCCAGTTCCCTAACAGGAATGACCATGTCTATTTCCGGCACAGACAAGAAGAAGAAGAGAAGGGATTGGATTTATCCCCCGCCCTTCACTACCCGAAGGAGTCTCAGAGTGGCTTACAACCCCCTTTCCCTTCCCCTCCCCACAACAGACACCCTGGGAGGTAGGTGGGGCTGAGAGAGCTCTGACACAAACTGCTCTTTTTCAAGGACAGCTCTTATCAGAACTACGGCTTGCCCAAGGTCATCCAGCAGGTGTCATGTGGAGGAGTGGGGAATCAAACCCGGTTCTCCCAGATTAGAGTCCGTGCACTTAACCACGTCACCAAACTGGCTCTCAAGGTACCCTGCAGTTGGCAAGAGAGCAGCTGTCTTGAGATTCTGGACCAGATGTGACGAATGTGGTTGACTGTGCCACTCCCATTAGATCAGGGCTAACAACGGGCCAAAGCCGGTGCTGTGTTTGATTTTAATATCCGGAAATAGCCAAAAGAGATGTCCACCCCTCAGCTCTGTCAACCTTTACAACCCATAAAAAAGAAGAAGGAGATTGGATTTATACCCCGCCCTTCACAGAGCAGCTTACAAACTCCTTTCCCTCCCCCTCCCCACAACAGACAACCTGTGAGGTGGGTGGGGCTGAGTGACACAAACTGCTCTTTTTCAAGGACAGCTGTGCCAGAGCTTGTGACTGACCCAAGGTCACATCAGCAGGTGCAAGTGGAGGAGTGGGGAATCAAACCCGGTTCTCCCAGATTAGAGTCCGCACACTTGACCACTACACCAAACTGGCTCTCCAGTTTGATTCCCCACTCCTCCACTTGCACCTGGCTAGATGACGTTCCAAGTTCCTACTTTCCCATCATACAAAAAACCTCTGGAAAGCCACAGATGAGACTTGCAGCATCAGCCCCAGGAAAAAAAATACTAGCTAGGATCACCAGGAGAGCACATTCCATTTGTCCACCTCCTAATGTACACCAGGGGCCCCGACGTGGTGCCCACAGGCATCATGGCACCCGCCGACACCTTTCCTGGTGCCAGCCAAGGGTGTCTACAAAGCGGGCTGGGCCGGGGTGGGGCCCTTGTGCCCATCAGGGCTTCTGATTGCCCACTGGAGACTTGATTGGCTGGGGAGATTAAGAAGCGTTCTGTTAAACAGAGCTTCTGCCTTACGTGTTGGACGACAGCATAAGAGTTGTGCGTAATCTTGCTCCCTGACTTTTTGTGGTTGTGCCCACCACCCTGCGTCAGAATCCCAAAGGTTCCTGCAGGGTCAAAAAGGTTGGTCCACGAGTGGCAACTGGCCACGAGGTATAGATGGGACACTCTGTCTGGGGCAGTGGTGCTCTGTATTCTTGGTGTTGGGGGGGCAACAGTGGGAGGGCTTCTGGAGTTCTGGCCCGCTGGACCTCCTGATGGCCACTGTGTGACGGAGTGTTGGACTGGATGGGCCATTGGCCTGATCCAACATTGGCTTCTCTCATGTTCTTAGTGGCTATTAGCCACGAGGTATAGATGGAACACTCTGTCTGGGGCAGTGATGCTCTGTATTCTTGGTGCTTGGGGGGCAACACTGGGAGGGCCTCTGGAGTTCTGGCCCTGCTGGTGGACCTCCTGATGGTACCTGGGTTTTGCCCACTGTGTGACACAGAGCGTTGGACGGGACAGGCCACGGGGCTGATCCAACATGGCTTCTCTTATGTTCTTATGTAACCCCAAAGGAAGTTTCACTTTCTTACAATGATCAGAACAAAGACAATCAAGTAGGTCCATGAGCATGTTCCTGTGAAGAGCTTGTTTCTTGCCTCAGCACTAAACCAGAAGTTGAGAAAGCCACAGGGGGAGCAACCACAGGCCTCAACCCACCCGGATGCCACAGTTTTCCTGATCTGGTATTTGGGCTGGCAGGGATCAACACAACACGACGCCTGTGCCTCTCTGTGTGACCCTGACATCCTCTACCAAGACCCGCCCAACCCCCTGAGCAAAGGCTGCGGCTGCCTGAAGGCCCTGCGAAAGAACACGTAACTTGCTCCTCAGACGGGCAACTTCCAGGACATCTTTCAAAGTGGGCTCCCCCCTCCCAAAAAAACAAACCCCACCCTGATCCACCAAACTCATTTGAAGATGACCCCTTGAGCCATTAACCATCCCTGCATCCAGCTGGGATGGGTGAAACTATCAACAGGAAGAAAGTGACTCCATGGGAACGCAGCGCCAGGAATCATTCCTGATGCCATGCCGGGGCTACAAAGCTGGCCCTTGCATTTCAGTCTCTAATACTTCCTGATGGCACTACAGCCAGTTTGGTGTAGTGGTTAGTGGTTAGAAGCACAGACTCTGATCTGGGAGAACCGGGTTTGATTCCCCACTCCTCCACTTGCACCTGGCTGGAGTGACCTTGGGTCAGTCACAAGTTCTTTCAGAGCTGTTCTCTCAGGAGCAGTCCTCGAAAGAGCTCTCTCAGCCCCACCTACCTCACAGGGTGTCTGTTGTGGGGGAGGGGAAGGGAAAGGAGTTTGTAAGCTGCTCTGAGACTCCGAGTGAAGGGCAGGGTATAAAGCCAATCTCCTCCTCCTCCTGAGAGCCAGTTTGGTGTAGTGGTTAAGTGCGCAGACTCTAATCTGGAGAATTGGTTTGATTCCCCACTCCTCCACTTGTACTTGGCTGGATGACCTTGGGCAAGCCGTAGTTCTGATAAGAGCTGTTCTTGAAAAAGAGCAGTTTCTGTCAAGAGCTCTCTCAGTCCCACCTACCTCACAGGGTGTCTGTTGTGGGGAGGGGAAGGGAGTTTGTGAGCCGCTCTGAGATTCCTTCGGGTAGTAAAGGGTGGGGTATAAATCCATTCTCTTCTCTACTTGCATGACCATTAAACTGAACAGACCATAAAACAATGAAGCTTAAGCAATAAGAGGAAGCTCATTTTGACTCAGCCCATACTTGACGGGAAGCACTGCGTTCTCCTGCTTCACGGGCGTTCTCCACGGAGAATCTCCCTCCAGGAGTTTGCTTCCAGGATCCTATCAAGAGAGGCAAACGTACAATCAATCTAACTATGGCGGCCAGAATTCTTTACGCAAAATATTGGAAATCAACTGAGATACCAACAAAGCGAGAATTTATAAACAAAGTTTTGGAGGCAGCGGAATTGGATAAACTGACTTGACTGACAAAAGGTTTAACAGACTCTACATTCCAGAATACTTGGGACACGGTTTTATAATTGGTATGATAATCACATGTAGGCAAGTTTATAGCGGACAGACTGTTTGTCTATTAGAAAGTAGATACTCGATTGAAGTAGAGTTGAAGGGTTACTTCACATAATATACAAGGATAGAGATCAAGGAGGATCAGGCGTAGGCATTAATGTTTGTTAACAAGAATAATAATCCCCATACATGTGTGTATGTATGTATGTTTATTTTGTGTCTGTGTAAAATACGTACAAATTTTAATAAAATTCTGCCTTTCGGGGCAGTCTTAAAAAAAAAGAGAGAGAGAGGCAAACATGAGAATCAACACGGAATATCTGCCTCGTGCATTTTGTTTCTCCAAGAAGATTTACGCTCAGTCGCTCTTCAGCTTTGGTCCTGGAAAGTGCCCTCGAGTCGCAACTGATTTACGGCGACCCCGTGGGGCTTTCAAGGCAAGAGGCGTTCAGAGGTGGTTTGCCATTGCCTGCCTCTGCGTGGCGACCCGGAGCTTCCTTGGCGGTCGCCCATCCCACTCCCAACCAGGGGCGGCCCTGCTTAGCTTCCAAGATCTGATGAGATCTGGCTAGCCTGGGCTATCCAGGTCAGGGCTCTTCAGCTGTCAAAGTTCTCAAAGCCATTTAAAAACGCGGATGAAGGCGTTGACGACTAATCCGAGGAGATTACCATTTTTGACCCGGTCTTTGGGAAGTCCTTGCCTTGGCCATGCGAGCTCTTGTTCTCCTGAACCCCGTAGCGAGAAGGCGACCCCCGGTCTCGTACCCGTTTCAATTCCTGTTCGAGTTGGCTCCTGCAGAAACAGTAGGGAGGAAGCGTTCAATGAGAATGAGCTTTGGCTTACGGGCCTCGGTTTTTTTAAAAAAGCCACTGAAAGGAAGAGGAGGAAGAGGCCGAACGAAAAGGACGGGCAGGGTTACGGGCCTTTCAAAGAATCTTCAGAATGAGTCTTTTAAAAGGAACACCTCAGAACCAAAACAAAAGGGAAAGCTGACTGAAGAAAACCTCAGATCACCAAAAACCTCACTCAACGTGCAGGTATCTAATATGATGAAAAGGAAATACTTCTTTACACAGAGCCATTGAAGTGAGGGATTTGCTGCCAGAGAATGTTGTGATGGCCACAGGCATAGGCATCTTTAAAAGGGGATTAGGCAGATTCTTGGAAGGATAGACCTGTCGATGACTGCTAGCCATCATAACTATAGGGAACCTCCACGTTCAGAGGCAGTCAACCTCTGAATCCCAGAGTCAGGGGGCAACTTCAGGAAGGCCTCGGCCTCTGTGCCCTGTTGCTGGGCACCCAGAGGAACTGGTTGGCCACTCGTGTGAGACAGGATGGTGGACTAGATGGACCACTGGTCTGATCCAGCAGGGCTCTTCTGAGGTTCTTATCAGGGAAAGGCCTCAGCCTCTGTGCCCTGTTGTTGGCCCTCCAGAGGAACTGCTTAGCCACTGTGTGAGGCAGGATGCTGGACTAGATGGACCACTGGTCTGATCCAGCAGGGCTCTTCTGATGTTCTTAATCAGGGGAAGGCCTCAGCCTCTGTGCCCTGTTGTTGGCCCTCCAGAGGAACTGATTGGCCACTTGTGTGAGACAGGATGCTGGACTAGATGGACCCCTAGTCTGATCCAGCAGGGCTCTTCTTGTGTTCTTATCAGTGGAAGGCCTCGGCCTCTGTGCCCTGTTGTTGGCCCTCCAGAGGAACTGATTGGCCACTTGTGTGAGACAGGATGCTGGACTAGATGGACCCCTGGTCTGATCCAGCACGGCTCTTCTCATGTTCTTATGAGGGGAAGGCCTTGGCCTCTGTGCCGTTATTGGCCCTCCAGAGGAACTGATTGGCCACTTGTGTGAGACAGGATGCTGGACTAGATGGACCCCTAGTCTGATCCAGCAGGGCTCTTCTCATGTTCCTATTTTTCTCAGTGGGGCAGATTCCTGAATAATGATACAACATGGAACAGTTCAACCTGATCGAACCAACAGGCCAGCTAGCTGGGTTCCTTATCTGGAAGTGGGGCTAAATCCAGATGTTTCCTCAAAGTTGTCACGGTGCATGCAGGACATAAATGCCCACTGCTTCCACCCTGAATTCCCTGAATCCAGAAATGGATACCTTGTCTATTAGCAAAGGCTCCCACTAGCTTCCTACCTGCACACAATCAACAAGTTTGTCTACTCTCCCTTTTTTGCAAAAGAAAGACGTAAAAGACACTTCTACTGTTGGAAACTACTAGTTCTAGTGAAACAGAATGCCATTGTTCTATACGACAAAGAAACCCCTTTAACACATGGTGGTGGAAAGTTCCATCTGGCCCCTCTGGTGGACCTCCTGATGGCACCTGGGTTTTGGCCACTGTGGGATGCAGAGTGTTGTATTGGATGAGCCACTGGCCGGATCCAGCAGAGCTGCTGGGGGACCATCTACACCAGGGGTGTCAAACTCATTTGTTATGAGGGCCGGATCTGACATAAAGGAGACCTTCTTGGGCCAGGCCACGTGTGTCATAAAATGTAATGCCAGGTAGCGGAGATAGAAACTTTATAAAGGACACAAACACAAAAGGTCTTTTTTTAAAACTTAAAATAAAAATATGCATAAAACATGAGCACTCTTGCGATATTTTGTTTATTTAACAGTGTCTGATCACTGACACCTCTTGCTTTGAATTATTGCATCAAAATGTCTGTGCTATCTTGCTATCTTGAGTATGTTGTTGAGGTGTGTATCTGTAAGCTGCAAACCTATGTTGACGCAGCAGCAGCAGAACTGGAAGAAGCAGCAGAAGACAGCCACTTCCACTGCAGGCCTGATAGAAGCCCTCCAGGGGCCTCATCCGGCCCCGGGGCTGTATGTTTGACACCCCTGGTCTACACAGTCTCACATGCACAGGCAACCTTTCTGGCTCAAAGGTCCCACTAAACACAGATGAGTGCTCTTAAAGACACAGGCACTACTTGTTAAGAGTTTCCCATCAACCTCTCAGGTCACCCACGTGTGCAATTGCACGTGGATCCAAAAAACAAAGAACCTGCGCTCTGGTTGGAAAGTTCAGAGCTCACTTTCTTTCAGAGCCAGTTTGGTGTAGTGGTTAAGTGTGCGGACTCTAATCTGGGAGAACCGGGTTTGATTCCCCACTCCTCCACTTGCAGCTGCCAGGTGACCTTGGGCAAGCTGTAGTTCTGTCAGAGGTGTTCTTGAAAAAGAGCCGTTTCTGTCAGAGCTCTCTCAGCCCCACCTACCTCACAGGGTGCCTGTTGTGGGGAGGGGAAGGGAAAGGAGTTTGTGAGCCGCTCTGAGACTCCTTTGGGTAGTGAAGGGAGGGGTATAAATCCAATCTCTTCTTCTTCTCCTTTTTCCTCACAGGGCGTCTGTTGTGGGGAGGGGAAGGGAAAGGAGTTTGTAAGCCGCTCTGAGACACCTTTGGGTAGTGAAGGGCGGGATATAAATCCAATCTCTTCTTTTACCTCACAGGGTGTCTGTTGTGGGGAGGGGAAGGGAAAGGAGTTTGTAAGCCGCTCAGACTCCTTCGGGTAGTGAAGGGTGGGGTAGAAATCCAATCTCTTCTTCTTCTTCTTTTACCTCACAGGGCGTCTGTTGTGGGGAGGGGGAGGGAAAGGAGTTTGTAAGCCGCTCTGAGACTCCCTTGGGTAGTGAAGGGCGGGGTAGAAATCCAATATATTCTTTTCTTGGTATGTGTGTGTGTGTGCTTGCATGCCTGGAAGTCATGGTGATTTCTGGCAACCCCTAGTGGGACTTGGACGTTTCAGAGAGGCGGCTTTGCTATTGCCTGCCTCTGCATCTCAGCCCTGGTATTCCTTCCAAGTCCTTGGGTCGGCCCTGCTTAGCTTCCGAGATCTGACACAGAGCTCACTTTCTGGCTCTGCAAACACGTGCCGATTGTACCACGAAACGGAGAAGAGCCGCCCCAGGCGGCGGCGGCAGCAGCCCCCCCCCCGCCCCGAGCAAACCAAAATCCTCCGTCTCTTCACCGCTGCTTCCTGAGCTGCTCCGCCTCCAGCTGAAGGCTGCTGATCTTCTCCCCGAACTCCTGCTTGAAGAGACGGTTGTCCTCCTCCAGGGACTGGCGCCCTTTCTCTGCCTGCTGCAATCTGGATTTGAGCCACATGAACTTGTGATAAAAAACAAAAGCCACGGTGGGGAGGAAAGACTGAGTTCGAGCGACAAATTAAATGAAAATTTAAAAAAACGAAACAAAACCAAACGAGTCTAATGAAAAAAAATGTTGCAGGGGGGCGGGGTGGGCGGGGTGAGGAGGACTGTACAGGAAAGGGCAAATCAGGGGTGGGTGGGGGTTGGGGCAAAAAGTAATCTCAAGGGGAATAAAAATGTCGGTGAACCAGGCAGAAGAAACATCTATTTTCAATTCCTTTTTTTATTATTATTATCCTATTACTACAGTTTACAGTCAGTAGATGATAAACATAAAACGTCACTTTTAATCCATAAGTCAAAGCAAACCTCAAGTACACAGTATTGTTAAGTCAATTTCTTTCTTTTTTTTTTGTCTCTTTTAAAAATTTTCACGTTACATTGCAGCTTTAGACATGTAACTGGGGACTTGCATCATGGGATACCTAACTATCATTGAGAAATTAGTGCATTCGTCTGGTCTCTTCCACAACTGTCACATCAGGTCGCGTGCGTGAGGGGGGTCTAAGGCCGAGCGCGAGAGTCACGGGGCCCGGCGTTCGGATCTCCCGATCCTCTAGGGCATTGCTGGGATGTGGGGAAAGGCTGTACGTTCACAACGGGGGGAGGGAGGGCTGACTTCCATCCTACATGTACTCGCCAGCCGTGCACCAAGACTCGGCATGACGGTCAGGCTAGAAGGTGGAACAGGCAGCGACCGCTGCTCAGTATAGATCTGGAACCGTCACTGTAGCCTGTCTGCCAATTCAAAGCATAGGTACATGCTAGAGTCCTTCACATAGCTCAGAGCACACAAACTGTGTGTGTGTGTGTGTAGGGGGGGGAGTCCCTTATTTGAAGGCACCCCATGTCAAAGTCTCCAAATAAATGAAAAACATGGAGGGTCGTCCTACGTGCTCTGCGCCTACCTCACAGGGTATCTGTTGAGGGGAGGGGGAAGGGAAAGGAGTTTGTAAGCCACTCTGAGACTCCTTTGGGTAGTGAAGGGTGGCGTATAAATCCAATCTCCTCCTCTTCTTCTTTTACCTCACAGGGTGTCTGTTGTGGGGAGGGGAAGGGAAAGGAGTTTGTAAGCCACTCTGAGACTCCTTTGGGTAGTGAAGGGTGGCGTATAAATCCAATCTCCTCCTCTTCTTCTTTTACCTCACAGGGTGTCTGTTGTGGGGAGGGGAAGGGAAAGGAGTTTGTAAGCCACTCTGAGACTCCTTTGGGTAGTGAAGGGTGGCGTATAAATCCAATCTCCTCCTCTTCTTCTTTTACCTCACAGGGTGTCTGTTGTGGGGAGGGGAAGGGAAAGGAGTTTGTAAGCCACTCTGAGACTCCTTTGGGTAGTGAAGGGTGGCGTATAAATCCAATCTCCTCCTCTTCTTCTTTTACCTCACAGGGTGTCTGTTGTGGGGAGCAGGAAGGGAGAGGAGTTTGCAAGCCGCTCTGAGACTCCTTTGGGTGGTGAAGGGTGGGGAAATCCTTCAGCAGTTTAAAAACAACTGCTCTGCCAACGTTTTTACAAGCTAGGCGGCTGCATGAGGGGCAGTAGAATCAGGATGGACAAAAGGAAATACTTCTTTGCACAGCGAGTGATTGAAATGTGGAATTAGCTGCCAGAGGATGTACGGATGGCCACAGGCATGGACGGCTTTAAGAGGGGATTAGACAGACAGATGGAGGAGAGGTCTATCAGTAGCTCCTAGCCATGCTGACTAAAGGGAACCTCCACTTTCAAGGGCAGTCACCATCTGAATCCCAGTGCCAGGAGACAACATCAGGGGAAGGCTTCGGTCTCTCTGCCCTCCAGAGGAACTGGTTGGCCATTGCATGAGACAGGATGCTGGACTAGATGGACCACTGGTCTGATCCAGAAGGGCTCTCTTGATGTTCTTATCAGGGGAAGGCCTCGGCCTCTATGCCCTGTTGTTGGCCCTCCAGAGGAACTGGTTGGTCACTGTGTGAGACAGGAGGCTGGACTAGATGGACCACCGGTCTGATCCAGCAGGGCTCTTTTTATGTTCTTATGAACAGAGTGCAAGATTCAGGTCTACAATGGATACCACCCCCCAAGTTTTACAAACTCACCCTCATTACCTTCCATTTCACTGGGAAAGTCAAAGAAGATCTACATGGAGGAGTGACCTCCACTAAGGAAGAGTAAACTATTTATATCCACAAAAGCTGACTTCGAGCACCTTGGAGAATATTGACAGGGCAACCTACACACCAAGTCCTCTTCCGAGACCAGCAAAGTGAACTCTTGGCAACTACAGAAGAGAGACATCCTATTTCACTCTAAGCACAAAAAAACTTTAGCTGCACGGGGTTTCCCTATGCTTCCTACTTTTCAGTTTTGCCTTTCACGGTTTTGCCAGAATTCTTAGCTACCTGAACCAAAGTCTGAGACACAACTGTTAGTGAGGAAAAGGAAACCTGAAACGACGACAGGAAAAAGGGTTATTGTATGTGGTGGCTACTCTATGGTAAGGACTGACCAGCAGTAACGCACTACTAGTTCCGTTCGCAGAGGTCCATCAGTGGCTATTAGCCACAAGGTATAGCTAGGGACTCTGGGGCAAGTGATGGTCTGTCTTCTTGGTGCTTGGGGGGGGGGTCAACAGTGAGAGGGCTTCTAATGTCCTGGCCCCACTGGTGGACCTCCTGATGGCACCTGGTATCTCTGGCCACTGTGTGACAGAGTGTTGGACTGGATGGGCCTTTGGCCCGATTCAACATTGGCGTCTCTTATGTTCTTATGTTCTTTTCGACAACGAGATAAAAACCCATTATGAACTGTTCTGTAAAATAGTATAGTGCGGGAGAGGAAAAGGGTAACACGCTCCTATCATTAACGTCAAAAAACCCATTATGAACTGTTCTGTAAAATAGTATATTGCGGGAGAGGAAAAGGGTAACACGCTCCTATCATTAACGTCCTTCAGTTAAGCAGGATAGCTGAGTTTCTTAGTTTAATGGTAATAAAGTCAGAGGTAGGAGGCAGTGCAAAGGTTAAGAAGGGTTTCCGGTTTTTTAAACGCAGCTACTAAGCATGTCACCTAAAACAGAGGAAATGAACGGTTTTTCCTTAACACACAGGCAGGGCGGAAACGGCCTTGGCTTGTCCCAACCCCTGCCTAGTACCATTTCAGTTTGCATTATTTGTATTGTATTACTTTATTTGCTCTGGGTTTTTCGTTTTTGTTTTTTTGCCTTCCTCTGCATATCGTTTTACACCCGTGCACAGTGGGCGACAGCAAAGCCATGTGGTTATCCATCAGATAAAGAATTTTGGAAGAGAAGCACTAATCCACACAGAAACGGTGGCACTATGCATTGGCACCCATAGAGAGAACTGAAGTGAGGAGAAAAGCCAGGAATAAGACAAGGCCGGGCAGAGATCACACTGTCGGCGGCACTGACCGGCCACGCGCAAGCCCCAGGGATGTATTTGGGGCCACTGTAAAGTGAAGGGGTATAATCTGATCAAGTTTGCAGTGGTTTTGGAATGTCGTATTAACCTGTCCACGCTCGGACTGGCGTGCTGTGCGGACGCTGCGGGTCGGAAACGCTTTCGGGTCACGTAAAATCTTGAGGAATGCACAGGAAGAGGAATGTACTGTGCAGACAAGCATTTGATTAACAGGGGTGAAGTTATCCAGTGGTGCTAATGTGTGTTTTTTTCCCTGGCATTAAGGCCAAACTGAACAGTGGATGCTAAGGGAGCAGTCTGTGGCAGGCGCCCATGGTGGCTCTCCACCTCTACGGACATACTTGCTTCATCTACTTTACAACGAAGCAACTCAGAAAACTACCTGGCCTACCCTTGGATTTAATATTGCCAGGGAAAAAGCTCTGCAGCTTTCTGGTACCCAGTGTTCCCTCTAAGCTGTGTGGGTGAGCGGCCGCTCATTAACACAGGAAGCCCCGCTCAACAGTAGTCTGGAGCCACGTAGGGTCTTGCGTGGCCCACTGCCCGTTTTAAAGATTATAGCAGTTATATTCCACTCAGGAGGTGACCTGCCCCGCTCACCACAGAAAAAAAATTAGAGGGAACACTGGCCACCAGGCGTGCAAAAGGTTAAAAGCTTTGTTCTGCTATTCATTTTGAATCGCACAGTGACACCCTTTCTCTTGTTTTGCAATTCTCTGGGATAGTTCTGGGTCAAACTGTTTAAACGACAAAAAGCAGGGTTAGGATTATATGGCGACGCTTCCGCTTCCCTTCTGAAAACGAAAAAACCAAAAATCCCAAATCAACTTCAGGTGATAACATTGGAGTCTGATGTCTAAATTCCTATCGATGTAAAAAAAAATTCCTGCTTTTCCCTCGTAATTGAGTTGAGATGTCAGAGTTGTGAGGGGACCAGCTGCAGCAACGGAGGGGGAGAGAGGAGAGCCTAGGGGTGCTTCTGGATCAGTTTGTTCGCTGCGCTATTTAAGGTTTTTGCCTGTTTCACCAAATCCTTTTCGCTATATGGAGAAAAGGGTGTAATGATGACATGGGGAGTTGGGGGGGGAGGGGAAGGGGAAAGGAGACAGACAGCAGAAGAAAACACCTGTTAATTCAACAGACACCAATGACTGCATATGAACGACAGATTCAGGTGGGTGGCCTTGTTGGCCTAAAGCGACAGAACAAAGTCTGAGTCCAGTGCACACGAGAGCTTATATACCCAGAATTCAACTCTGTTGGCCTTAAAGGTGCCACTGCATTCAGACTGTGCACGTGACGATGTTTTGCTTTGTTCCAAAAAAAATGCAAGTATTACCATTTCGCCTTAGGAAGGATCTCTCGATCTTTACTCTACAAGGCTTAAATGAACGACAGCTGACATTTCTATACAACGGTGTCTGTTTTGTTTGCTTTTTGCAAGGTGTCTCCCGACAGAAGGCACTTCTGCTAGCAGAATGGAACCTTCCTGCCTCCATCTTCAGGTCGTTGTCACCGAAATTCCCAAAACAATGCTCTGGGAAGACAGGGCATCCCCAAACTCTGTGAGTGTGTTATGGTGGGTGGGTGGGTGGGTAGGGAGACAATGCTCCCTCTAAGCTGTGGAGTCTTGTGAGCAAAAATGCTACTTTGTGAGCTACTGGCATTAAAGTTGTGAGCCAGCAATTTAGCCACTGCATAAATGAGTTTGCTCTGGAGCCATCCTTCCTGAGCTAAGACAAAAATGTGTGAGCCAGAGGCTAAAAAACTGTGAGCTAGCTCACACTAACTCAGCTTAGAGGGAACACTGGTTACGGCATAAATTCGTTTGCTCTGGAGCCCTCCTTCCTGAGCTAGGATCAGAAATGTGTGAGCCGGAGGCTGAAAAACTGGGAGCTAGCTCACACTAACTCAGCTTAGAGGGAACACTGGTGTCAGCTAAAATCAGCATGCGGAAGGTCCCAGACTGAATCCAGCCAGCGTGATGCAGTGGTTGGAGTGCTGGCCGAGGATATGGGAGGCCTGGGTTTGAATCCCCACTCGTTCCGCCACGGAAGCTTGCTGGGGGACCCTGGGCCAGTCACACACTCTCAGCCTAACCTCCCTCACAGGGTCGTTGTGAGGCTAAACCGGAGGAAAGGGGAATGATGTAAGCTGTGCTGGGCTCCCGCTGGGAAGAATGGTAGGTATAAATAGAGTAAGTGAATAAATAAATCCCCGGCATCTCCAGTTAAAAAGACCAGGGAGTAGGTGATGTGAAAGACCTCAACCAGAGAGCCCGGAGAGCAGCTGCCAGTCTGAGTAGACAACACTGATGGACCAAGGCTCTGACTCAGTATATCGCAGCTTCACATACGTTCCTTAAGGCTTCAGCTCGTTTTATGGAGGATAAGTCTATCAATCGCTACTAGCCATGGTGACTGAGGGGAGCCGCTGCATTCAGAGGCACAAATCCTCTGAATCCCAGAGCCCAGGAGGCAGCATCAGAGGAAGGCCTCAGCCTCTACGCCCTGTTGTTGGCTGTCCAGAGGAACTGGTCAGCCACTGTGTGAGACAGGAGGCTGGACTAGATGGGCCACTGGTCTGATCCAGCAGGTCTCTCCTTATGTTCTTACAGGTAGATTCATGGAGGATAAGTCTATCAATGGCTACCAGCCATGTTGGCTGAGGAGAACTTCCACATTCAGAGGCACTAATCCTCTGAATCCCAGAGCCAGGAGGCAACATCAGGGGAAGGCCTCAGCCTCTATGTCCTGTTGTTGGACTTCCAGAGGAACTGGTTGGCCACTGGGTGAGACAGGAGGCTGGACTAGATGGACCACTGGTCTGATCCAGCAGAGCTCTTCTTATGTTCTTCTATTCTTGACATCAGGGGAAGGCCTCGGCCTCTATGCCCTGTTGTTGGACTTCCAGAGGAACTGGTTGGCCACTGGGTGAGACAGGAGGCTGGACTAGATGGACCACTGGTCTGATCCAGCAGAGCTCTTCTTATGTTCTTCTATTCTTGACATCAGGGGAAGGCCTCGGCCTCTATGCCCTGTTGTTGGACTTCCAGAGGAACTGGTTGGCCACTGGGTGAGACAGGAGGCTGGACTAGATGGACCACTGGTCTGATCCAGCAGAGCTCTTCTTATGTTCTTCTATTCTTGACATCAGGGGAAGGCCTCGGCCTCTATGCCCTGTTGTTGGACTTCCAGAGGAACTGGTTGGCCACTGGGTGAGACAGGAGGCTGGACTAGATGGACCACTGGTCTGATCCAGCAGGGCTCTTCTTACGTTCGTATGAAGGCCTTGGCCTCTATGCCCTGTTGTTGGCCCTCCAGAGGAACTGGTTGGCCACTGTGTGAGACAGGATGCTAGACGATGTACCACTGGTCTGATCCAGCAGGGCTCTTCTTACGTGCATATGAAGACCTCAGCCTCTCTGCCCTGTTGCTGGCCCTCCAGAGGAACTGGTCAGCCACTGTGTGAGACAGGAGGCTGGACTAGATGGGCCACTGGTCTGATCCAGCAGGTCTCTCCTTATGTTCTTACAGGTAGATTCATGGAGGATAAGTCTATCAATGGCTACCAGCCATGTTGGCTGAGGAGAACTTCCACATTCAGAGGCACTAATCCTCTGAATCCCAGAGCCAGGAGGCAACATCAGGGGAAGGCCTCAGCCTCTATGTCCTGTTGTTGGACTTCCAGAGGAACTGGTTGGCCACTGGGTGAGACAGGAGGCTGGACTAGATGGACCACTGGGTCTGACCCAGCAGGACTCTTCTGATGCTCTTATGTTACCGTGGGGTTCTGAGGGGCTCCACAGTTCCCTCACAGCACACTAATTCTGAAACCGTGGGCCTCGTACCACGTGTTTGAAATGCTTGCTTTACCCCCCCCTAGTTTCAAAAATCCTTTAAAAAGGGTATATTAAACACCACCTTTAAAAAAAACACACACACCAACCAACGCTTCAACAATAAGCAACTTTCAATTTTACCTTTGTTCAAGTTGTTTGATGGTCGCAGCCATCTGATTCGTCTTCTCCTCCAAGCGGCTGTTTAGCTCAGCTTTCTGTTTCCCTCCCAGATCTGAACTCTGGAATGGGGAAAAGGCACAAGAAAGCTGATAGGCTGGAAAATTCTGAAAACAAGTTGTAAGGATCTCATGTTTTGGTGTGTGTGTTTCTTTAAATGTTTAGTTTGACTGCAGTAATGTAAGGAGAGTGATAGAGGGAGATAAGTGTGATGTGATTGGCTGATGACTGAAAGTGTGGGAGAAGAGATGTCTACGAGGTGATTCTGTGTGTGATGTTTGAAGAGAGAGCATAGTCTGTGTGACTATGGGAGTTTTTGAGTCTATTCTGTGTGAACAAGAGAAAGAGTTCAGCCTGTGTGGCTATATAGAGGAGAAAGAGAGAGAGAGATTAGACTGTCTATGCCTGTCAGAGTGGAGTTTTGGGAGTTTGAGAGACTGTGACACCAAGCTTTGCCAGTTATATTTACAAGTTCCTTTCATCAGCACAACAGTTCAAAATAACCAGAAACCCATTTTGTTCTTTATTAAATAAATCATTTTTTTGTTTAAACTTATCCCAGAAATCAGAATAGTCCTTCCTCAGGGCCACATTGTCCTCTGAAGTGCCCAGACCCTAGGTCATTCTACCGAGAGAGAGAGAACTGGAATTTTAATTCCTGGTGGCAGCAGGAATCTACCAAGTTTAGGTACACAGAGAGTGTTTTAAAGGGAAAAACGTCTCCCCAGTAAGGAGGACGCCACACAAGTTTTTGGACCAGTGCGCTGTACCAGTTAGAGCATGGGACAAGGCTCTGGGTGACACGGGTTCCAGTCTCCAACTTGTCAGGGAAGCTTGCTGGATGACCTTGGGCCAGTCACACTCTGTCAGCTTCACTGACCTCTCAGAGCTGACGTGATGATAAAATGGAGACGGAGAGAATGTTGTGAGCTGCGCTTGCTACCCACTGAGGAGGGAAGTGGGGCATAAATAAAGTCAAATAAAAGCTTTTTGGTTCCTTAGACATACATCTGGTACAAGCTAGTGATTCCCACTCCTTAACCATACGGGGATGAGTCTAGATCCTGAAGACCTGTGTCATGATTTTCTGGCCTGTCCGCTTTATTCGGTTCCAAGGAAGACATTTTTAGGTACGAGCTTGGCCAATTTAGGCCTTAGTACCGTGATGGAAGAAGTCATATTTTTACTTGCAGATGTGGAATCAGAAGTTTCATAGAAGACTGCCTTTCTTGCCTCAGCAGCAAAAAGGGCAAAATCTTATATGAACGGAGCTCTTCCACCAGGCTTTCGATTAGGGTGCCACCTTTTAATATTGTGGCCCCGGCCCCCCAACATCAGCACTAACTTAACAACTAACAGCCTGGCAAGAACCCGGAGTATGGTGGCAGTTGACCACCGGATGCTGAGGGCACGCCGCCATCTTTTATTAATATTTATGTTCCTGGAAATCTAAATTTTATATGCTATGGTTTTAATTTAACTTTTGTGCCTTGACATATTTTGTTGTTTTAATAGTTATATATATTCTGTAAGCTGCCCTGAGCCTGCCACAGCGGGGAGGGTGGGATACAAAAAGGAAGGAAGGAAGGAAGGAAGGAAGGAAGGAAGGAAATTTGGGCCAAACTACCGTTAGCATCCGTCACTTGCTTATGGGAGTCGTTCCTTTCTCTTATGAAACAAGTTTTAAAATGTAATTTTAATTGTATTTTAACTCAGTCTCACTGTACTGTATTATCCTGTATACAATTTTTTACACTCTCTTGTGCCCTCTTTTACACTTATGCAATTACACTCTCTTGTAATGGCCACTGGCCCTATGCAACAAAATTGAACTGAACTGGGAAGAGGGGAGGGGATTTGGTTTCCAGTGCCGAATGAAGAGCACGTTGTTACAGTCAACCTCAGGTAGGAGTGCCAGCCTCCAGGTGAGACCTGGGGATCCCCCGGAATTACAGCTCATATCCAGATTATAGAGATCAGTTCTCCTAGAGAAAACGGATGCTTCTGAGGGTGGACTCTATGGCACCGTACGCCAACCTGGAGCTGACAACCTTAACCCCCCCCCCCGTGCTGGTGGCCAGGGGGGACCTGGCAAGACATGGTTGGCTCATGATTCAGGACGGGGTGGGGGGAGCAGCAGGAGTCCAGCAATGAACCCCAGAGTCTCTTCCCAGTCTGTGTGGCTAAGTGACGGCACCAAGCCTGACCGTTCAAGGGGGGGGGGGCTGTAAAGAAGTATATTACTGGGAGCAAGTCGGGTGCCCCTCCACTGAGAGAGGCTCAAACTGCCTGGGGTCCAAATTATAGAATCACAGAATCAAAAGAGTTGGAAAGGGCCATACAGGCCATCTAGTCCAACCCCATGCCCAATGCAGGATCAGCCTACAGCATCCCTGACAAGTGTTTGTCCAGATGCTGCTTAAAGACCGCCAGTTTCTTATCTGCCGTGTCCCAAGGCGTCAGAGCAGGAAGCAAACACTAAGCACGGCAGGTAGGTAACGGCAGGAGAGAACAACACACCCGAACACTCTTGGGTGAGCAACTGCATCCAGGTCACTCAACCCCAAGCCCAGCAACACTATCCAGAATTAGAGGCTGGCTCTCCATCCTAAACCTAACAGGGTCACGGACCCTGCTTGGCTCACCTGCAGCTTGAAAGAAAGTTCATGTTTGAGGGCCCTGAGGTCGTCCAGTTGCTGCCTGAGCGCCACCAGGGCGTCTTGCTTCTCGCAAACGTCTTTCTCCAGCATTCTCATGGCCAGCTCCATTTCTTGCCTCATTCCGATCTGCACCTCCAGTTCTTTTTCCACATCCTGTATCAAAGCACACAAACACAGAGAGATGTGACACCTGGGATTTATGCATGTCCAGTAAGTGCAAGATGGGGTGGTCGTGTTAGTCAGTCTGTAGCAGTGGAAAAGAGCAAGGATCCATTGGCTCCTTAAAGACTAAAAAAATTTGTGGCAGGAGATAAGCTTTCGAGAAGAAGAGGAGGAGGAGAAGGAGATTGGATTTATACCCCGCCCTTCACTACCCAAAGGAGTCTCAGAGCGGCTTACAAATTCCTTTCCCTCCCCACAACAGACACCCTGGGAGGTAAAAGAAGAAGAGATTGGATTTGTACCCTGTCCTTCACTACCCAAGGGAGTCTCAGAGTGGCTTACAATCTCCTTTCCCTTCCCCTCCCCACAACAGATGCCCTGTGAGGTAGAAGAAGAAGAAGAAGAAGGAGATTGGATTTATACCCCGCCTTTCACTACCCAAAGGAGTCTCAGAGCGGCCTACAATCTCCTTTCCCTTCCCCTCCCCACAACAGACACCCTGTGAGGTAAAAGAAGAAGAAGAGGAGACTGGATTTATACCCTGCCCTTCACTACCCAAAGGAGTCTCAGAGCGGCTTACAAACTCCTCTCCCTTCCCCTCCCTACAACAGACACCCTGTGAGGTAGGTGGGGCTGAGAGACATCAGACAGAAACGGCTCTTTTTCAAGGACAGCTCTTATCAGAACTACGCCTTGCCCAAGGTCATCCAGCAGGGGCAAGTGGAGGAGTGGGGAATCAGACCCGGTTCTCCCAGATTAGAGTCCGCACACTTAACCACTACATCTAAACTGCTGAGACATCTGGCTAAATTATACACGGCACTTTATGTTCTATGTTGTTTTAAATTGTTCTTTAAATTGTATTATATATTGCACTGAGACTGATGGAACCCGCCCTGAGCCTGTTTGCAGGGAGGGCAGGATACAAGACTAATAAAATAAAAATAAATAAAGATAAACTGGAAATTCTGGAGTGGCAGAAGACTCTGAACACTTTCCTTACAGCATTACACACAGCCTAAGCGCAATGATTACTGCAGAGACCCCTTTAATTGTCCCCTTTGCTGTGTGGGGAAAAAAGCCAGGACCCCAGGGGACCCCAGACCGTCTTCTCGAGCTGCGCTTTTCAACTCAAACGTCTGCCCATCTAGCTTACCAGCCGTAGCTGCGTTTCCTCCTTCAGCTGTTTCCGTGCTTCGCTCAAGGCGTGCCCATCTGCAGTTCTGTCCTGTTTGGTTACCTGCAGGTTTATCAACATACCACAAAAGCAAATGAAGTGGAAATATTTAGCAGTCAAGCATTCGCTCAAAGAATACTCAAATGTCCTCCAAACTAGTCTTATACTGTGCGTTGTGCAGCTGTTAGGAAATCTGAAGCTGTGTAACGCTATTTCGCATTACGACGGATAATGTAAACCTGGGTTCGAGTACATGCTAGCACTTTATATGATATTGTGCTTCGTTTTATAGCCATATCCTTGTGATTTTAACTAATTTCTCTGTTTTAACTGTTTTATATATTCTATATGCAGGGGTCATTTCCTGCAGGAGCGCACAGGAGCGGAGCTCCAGCAGTAAAGAGCCCAGGGGTCGGGCACATGCAACAAGCCCCACCCCCTGCTCCCAGCAGCCCTCAGTCAGAGCAAGAAGCAGCCAGGTAAGTTGCAGAGCCCACCCCCACCCCCCACCCCCGGTCCAAAGCAGTCCAGTGGCACCTTTAAGACCAAGTTTTATTCAGGTACAAGCTCTCCCTCCTCTGCGAGGACAGATCTGCACGTTCCGTCCCCCCCCCCCAATAGCTAGCAATCCAAAACAGTTTAGTGGCGCCTGAGCGGTGGGTGTTGCCTTCTGACACACTTCTGGTGATGTCAGAGGGTGTGGCATATGCAAATAAGTTATGCTAATGAGTTATGCTAATGAGCTCCTGCACCTCTTTTTCTACGAAATGACCCCTGATTCTATGTAAGTTGCCCTGAGCCTGCCCAGGCAGGGAGGGCAGGATATAAATTAAACAATAAACAAACAAACAGGGAGGGGCTCCCTCGTAACTGGAGTTCTACAGTTGAACTGAACACTGTTCTCTTTCTCCCACTTGAAGAGACTACAAAGCACCTTTTTTTAGACACCAGTTCTTACTGCTCTACTCAGATCCTTTCTATCTGATTTGAGAAGTAACGCAGCCGATTGTTGAAATTAGCCAAAAGGCTATTAAAAAGTAAAGGTAAAGGTCTCCCTTGCTCGAAAGCCAGTCGAACCCGACTCTAGGGTTGCGGTGCTCATCTCCGTTTCAAAGCCGAAGAGCCAGCGCTGTCCGAAGACGTTTTTGTGGTCATGTGGCCGGCATGACTAAACACCAAGGAGCACGGAACGCTGTTACCTTCCCACCGAAGCGGTACCTATTTATCTACTTGCAATTTCTTGCTTTCGCACTGCTAGGTTGGCAGGAGCTGGAACTAGAGATGGGAGCTCACTCCATCATGCGGCACACTTGGGTCTCGAACTGCTGAACTACTGACCTTCCACAGCCTGCAGTTCAGCGTCTTAACCACTTGAGCCACCGCAGCTCCTAAAAGGCTATTAACGCCCACCTTTCTGGAAGAAGGCAGTGCTGCATAAGTATCAGTATGTTCCTGCCAGATCAACACACACAGCACTAGGGATGGGCACTAGCCAGCTGACAAATTAAAGTTCGTCATGAATTTTTGGCTGGCTCGGGCAGCAATGTTCACAAACTGAAGCACCGCCATGAACTTTCACAAATTTTGATGCAGTTTGTGGCGGTACGTGAAGAGCAGAAAGCAAGGGGTTTAAACCCCTGCTTTCTGTTCTTCATGAAAAACAGCTGCTCCCTGCCACTCAGCTGTTTGCAAAAAGCAGTGGGGAGCAGAAAGCAGGGGTTAAATGGCTCACGAACCGGTTTGGTTTGTAAACCAACCTCCCAGTCCGTGGTTCAGTTCATCGTTCAGCCACAAACCGAACCGCAAAAATGCAGTTCGTGTCCGTCCTTATACAGCATGTTGCCAGAAAAGGAAGAGAAGCCAAAAGTTCACAGGTTGAACACAGAGCTTCCAGGTAAGCCAACGTGCAGACCACTGCTAGAGAGAAATACATCCACCTCCAACACCCAGCCAATAAACGTACTGACCTTTCTGTTGGACTCCATCATGTATGAACTTTCTTCTTTGATTCTCTCCATCTCTCCTTGCAGTGTTATAATTCTATTGTTTGCAACAGCAAGCTAGATAGAAACAACAGTTAAAATAATTATTTTCAGCTTCAATAGGTACTTTCTTGGTATTCAACAGCAGTTTATGTTCTTGACAGCTGGTATGACATGGTAGTGCATAGAAGGCTAGACTTGCCTTAATTAAGAAGAAGAAGAAGAAATTGGATTTATACCCCGCCCTTCACTCAGAGTCTCAGAGTGGCTTACAAACTCCTTTCCCTTCCCCTCCCCACAACAGAGGTAGGGGCTGAGAGCTCTGACAGAAACTGCTCTTTCATGAACAGCTCTGACAGAACTATGGCGTGCCCAAAGTCATCCAGCAGCTGCAAGAGGAGGAGTGGAGAATCAGACCCGGTTCTCCTGGATTAGAGTCCATGCACTTAACCACTACACCAAACTGTCAGGGGTTAAGAGGAGAAGGAATCTGAAAAATCTTCTTAGCTACATCGATGGGGGTCATCCTATAAGGCAAAGGCCCCCAACCTTTTTTGAACCCTTGGGCACCTCTGGAATTCTGACACATGTTGCTGAGTGCAAACTCAAAATGGGAGCTGCCAGAGGTGGAGCCAAACAAGCAGAGGAAGCACAACTGCAGGGGAGAAGAGATGTAATTAAAAATTGAAAAAATAAAAAAAAACATTATAAAAAAAAAAAAGAAAGGTGCAGGCCGGAGCCAGGATGCCCCTGGGCGCCATGTTGGGGACCGCTGATCAGTGTTCCCTCTAAGCTGAGTTAGCGTGAGCTACCTCACAGTTTCTTAGCCTCCGGCTCACACATTGTTGTCTCAGCTCAGGAAGGATGGCTCCAGAGCAAACTGATTTCTGCAGCAGCAAGATCGCTCCCTCATAACTTCAATGCCCGTAGCTCACAAAGCAGAATTTTTGCTCACAAGACTCCATGGCTTACAGGGCATATTGTCCCTGATATAAGAATTAATACTCAAAATGGTGCTTTATTGGCTTATGAAACAGCTTATGGAAGAGTACCATCGCTGGTCATATAGACTCACTGGGTTGGTTTATTAGCACCAAGATTTTGCTGCGGTTGATGGTTTATCCCATAAACCAAAGGTCCCCAATGTGGTAACCATGGGAGCCATGGTGCCGCCCACCAACACCTTACCTGGCCAGGTAGGGCTATTGCCCAGCACAGCTTCCGATTGGCTGTGCAAAGTAAAATAACATTGCTTTGGTGGCCCCTGCCACCACAGTGTCAATTTTATTCTGTCTCTTGATCCTCTTTCCCAGTGTTATCGCTTGAAGTTACTCCTCTTCTTCACTGTACTTGGGAGTCCCTCTAAGCTCCGGAGTCTTGTGAGCAAAAATTCTACTTTGTGAGCTGCTAGCATTAAAGTTGTGAGCGAGCGATCTGGCTGCTGCAGAAATCAGTGTGCTCTGGAGCCCTCCTTTCTGAGGACAAAAATGTGTGAGCCAGAGGCTAAAAAACTGTGAGCTTAGGACCAGTGTTCCCTCTAAGCTGAGTTTAGTGTGGGGACGGGTTTTTGGCCTCCGTCACACACATTTTTGTCTTAGCTCAGGAAGGGAGGGCTCCAGAGCAAACTAATTGATGCAGCAGCCAAATCGCTCGCTCACAACTTTTAATGCCCGTAGTTCACAAAGTAGATTTTTTGCTCACAGGACTCCAAAGCTCAGAGCAGGGGTGTCGAACTCATTTGTTATGAGGGCCGGACCTGACATGAATGAGACCTCGTCAGGCCAGGCCGCGTGTGTCATAAAATGTAATGCCAGATAGCGGAGATAGAAACTTTATAAAGGACACAAACACAAAGGGGTTTTTTTAAACTTAAAATAAAAACATGCTTAAAACATGAGCACTCTTGCAATATTTTGTTTATTTAACAGTGTCTGATCACTGACACCGCTTGCTCTGAATTACTGCATCAAAATGCCTGTGCTGTTGCAATCTTGAGTATGCTGTTCAGGTGCGTATCTGTAAGCTGCAAACCTACGATGACGCAGCAGCAGCAGAACTGGAAGAAGAAGCAGAGGACAGCCAGTTCCACTTTGGGCCTGATAGAAGCCCTCCGGGGGTCTCATCCAGCCCCCACTGGCTTAGAGGGAATATTGCTTGGGACTTTCGCAGGGCTCTTTTTGTAGCAGGAACTCCTTTGCATATTAGGCCACACACCCCTAATGTAGCCAATCCTCCAAGAGCTTACAGAGCTCTTCTTACAGGAGCTACTGTAAGCTCTTGGAGGATTGGCGACATTAGGGGTGTGTCGCTTAATATGCAAATGAGTACCTGCTACAAAAAGAGCCGTGCGGCTGCTCCCTATGTCTCCAGTTACGAATTCCAGTTTCACCAGTCTGATCAAAAAGGGTATGAAACATTCACTGGTCTTATAAAATCAGATTGTCAGGCACAGGTCTTCTCAGACATTAACATGTTGGACACTATTTTATTTATTTATACATATACATATATAACAAAACAAAACAAAAAATATTATTATATTTATACCCCGCCCTCCCCACAAACGGGGAGTAAGTAAAGTAAAACCTAATTCACCGATCACTAATTTTTCCTCCCACCCCACAACAGAAAAGTAAAGCATTTCTTTCATTGCCACTCACCTCCCCAGTAAGTTTTGTGTTGGATTTTTCTAAAGCATCAACCTTTGCCTGCAGATTGTTGACAGTGGCACTGTTAAATTAAAGAGATCATCAGGAATTACACCGAAACATTTAGCTTTATAGCCAACGGAAGTCTTTTATAGATTATACTTAAACAGCAAGCTGCTCTTTACCTTAAATGTCTATTGAGTTCTTCTACGTAATTCTTCTGGTCCAGAATTGCAGTAATTTGACCATCTCTGGAAATGGAGCACGGAGAAAACAGTAAAGAAACATGTGGCCACTAAGATTCAGAAAAGAGACAAGGAACTAGTTCAAACAAAGCCAGAACCGTGGCGTGAATGAGCCTTGGGTTCAAATGACAGTAGCTGCCCCACCATGCTGCAATTCCTCACTTAGAAAAGTAGAGCTGGAAGGGACCTCAAAGGTCATCTAGTCCAACCCCCTGCACAATGCAGAAAATTCGCAGCTACCTCCCCCCCCACTCCCCCAGTGACCCTTGCTCTAGCCCCAGAGGAAGGCAAAAGATCTCCAGGACCCTTGGGTCAATCTGGCCTGAAAGAAAATACCCTGGGCATATAAGAAAGGACCACAAGAGCTGAGCACTGGCTCATCCTTCCCCATCCTTCCTGTCACGATCCACCTAAATTCATATTTCTGGGCCAACTTATTTCTGGGCAAACCACTGTTAGCAGTCACCTCTGACCCGCAAGCTACGGTTTGCACTTACCTGCCAGATCAGAACTGGAAAACCGTGGTGTGATCACAGTTTCCCATTTCGGCCCAGAAGGCAAGCGCAAGTCATGCTTTGCGGGGTCAGATAGAACAGAAAATGATGCTTGGACCAAAAGAGAAATAACTGTAATGTGTGAGGGGAAGACGGGATCGCATCAGGGCTGGCATTTTGAGGTGGGAGCACCTCCTACTAACATTACTGCCGCCTTGCTCTAAGATAGCCTCTCTTATTGCTGGGCAGTAGCAGCATGTGGAGAAACTCTGTAATATTTCACTTCTGGCAGCGGGATCTGAACAAGCTGCTTATCAAAATTCTAGGCAGACAGATTGTGGATTTACTTTTACACCAACACC